ATGCTGCCAGGGCTGGAGCCCCTCTGCTCTGGAGCCAGGCTGGGAGAGCTGGGGGGGTTCCCCTGGAGAAGAGAAGGCTCCAGGGAGAGCTGAGAGCCCCTGGCAGGGCCTAAAGGGGCTCCAGGAGAGCTGGAGAGGGACTGGGGACAAGGCATGGAGGGACAGCACACAGGGAATGGCTTCCCACTGGAAAAAGGCAGATTGTAGTGGGATACTGGGGAGAAATTGCTGGCTGGGAGGGTGGGGAGGGGCTGGGATGGAATTCCCAGAGAAGCTGTGGCTGCCTCTGGATCCCTGGGAATGTCCAAAGCCAGGTTGGGTGGCCCTTGGAGCTACCTGGGAGAGTGGAAGGTGTCCCTGGGTGGAACTGGATGATCTTTCAGGTCCCTCCCAGCCCAAAGCATTCCAGGATTCCATTCAGCTTCAGCTACAATTCCAGGCCTTGGGATGGGCTGGTGGATGAGAATTCCTCTAATTCTGTCCTCTCCTCCTCTTTTCCAGAGTGATTTGTCCTCCAGCCTGGACGAGGTGAGTCTTTAAGGATGAGTTGCTTTCCATTTTGGGGTGGTTCAGATTTGCCTCCCTGGGGGAGCCCCTTTTTCCAGGAGCATCTGGATTTTGGGGACAGAGTGGATGGACTCTGGACTTGACCCAGGGGGGGGTTCCCATGACGGGGAAAGTCAAATGGGATTGAGGAACATGTTGGGATGCATTCAGGCTCCCTGGGATGTGTGTGCACCAGGAGCTCCCCCCTTCCCAAACCCCGCATGGAAGAGCTGGAATGCTGGGCTACCCCGTGGCTGGACCTCAGCTGAAATCCCAGTTGCCCTCTTTCCATGAGGAATTGGCTGTGAATTGAGGATTTCCCGGACTGTGCCAGTGGTTCTGAAGGAAATGTTCTCATCAGAGAGGAGGTGGCTGCCCCATCCCTGGAATAATTCAGGGATAGGTTGGACGGGGCTTGGAACAACCTGGGATGGTGGGAGGTGTCCCTGCCCATTCCAGGAGGTTTGGACTGGATGACCTTCGAGGTCCCTTCCAACCCAAACTGTTCCATGATTCTGTGCTTCCAAGACCAGGATCCCAGGCTGTCCAAGTGTCTCCCCAGACCCTGTGGTTCCTTTGGAGCAGATCACCATGGGGTGAGGTTGTTCCTGGAGAGCTCCAGGCAGAGAGCAGAACAAGGGGCACCTCTCTTGCAGTGTTGGGGTGGCCCTTGGAGCCAGGTGACCCCGAAATGTGGGAGATGAGCTAGGGAAGGACGTGAGGCCTGGCCACGTTCCCAAGCGAGGCCGGATGGGATGGGATGAGCACATATTCCAGGCTGCCTTTCCTGAGGGAAAAACGGGGCTCAGCCCTGTGCTCTGATGGGTTGGTGTGACCATAATCATCTCTCTGCTCTTTCTCCTCCCCTCCTTCCCATTTCTGGATGGGGAATTCCACAGCTCTGCCTCCCGGCCTTGTTCTCCGAGGGGCTCCTCCAATGGGTATTTTGCTCTCCTCCATCCCCCTCCTTTTCCCAGGAATCCAAGCAAAATCCCAGCAGAGACTCTAGGGGAGAGCAGCTCCTCCAGGAGGGCCTGGCCTGGCCCTCCTGCCCTGTGGGACCCCCATCCCACCCATCCCAAAGTTTGGTGCCAGCCCGAGTCTCCAGCGCCTTGGGGAGAATCCTCGTGGTGCTCCTGGAGGACCAGGCTGGGACCATCCTCCTGCTTCATCTATGCTTGGGAATGGCCTTTTGGGGCCAAATCCCCTCCAAACTCTGGGATTTGAGCCCTTCTTGGAACTCCCATTCCAAGTGGGAGATGCTTCCAGCCCCGGCTTGGACTGGGCTGGGCAATGTTGGCTTTCACCTGTCGCTCTTCCAGCCCTGGATCAGAGCCAGGGGTGGATCAGCTGCTCTCCAGAGCTCCCTCCCACCCGAATTCCCTCTGATTTGTCCTTGTCCAAGCCATCCCAGATGCCAGCAGGTGTCCTCCTGGATGAGAGCTGTGCCTGGGAATTGCTTGTTCCCTGATCCCTCCCTGCTCCTGCCTCGTCCCTGGCACTCCCTGCTCACCTCTGTCCATCTGGTGGAACATTTGATCCTCCTGGAATCACTGGGAGCCAGGAGAGCCTCTGGAAAACCCCCAGGAGAGCAGCTGGGAGTGAGAAGGACTTGGGAACAGCTAGAGGTGGTGCAGGGTTGGAATCCAAGTGTCATTTGGGGCTTCCAAAGCTGAACCTGGAGAGGGAGGAGGGACAGGCAGGAGCTCTTTCCCCATTTTCCCTTCATCCCATAAGGATTTCCCGAAGGATTGATCACTAAGGGCCCTTCCAACCCAAACCATTCCGTGATTCTGTGTCTGAGCAGCCTCAGGTGAAGGATTTTGGGAAGCAGGGGGTTCCCAGGGGATGCTGGGGATGCTCTGCACCTCTCCCTTCTCCTTGGGACTCACCTCCTGGATAACATTCCCGTTCCCTGCCACCACTAACCCCCTCTGTGAGCACGTGGATCGTGGGATGGAGGATTCTCCATGTGGGAAACCTGGACATCTGCCCCAAAACGGAATTACCCCAAATCCCCAGCTGGAGGAAAATCCCTTTGTGGAGCATTTATTTATGGCCAGGTATAAACCTGCCCTAATCCTGTGACTGCAACAGAAACCCACTGGGTTTAATGCAGTGATATTCCAACCTGGAAAGAATTCCAGCTTCCTAAATTGCTCCCAACTGCCCCTGTTGGAGGGGTGGCATTGCC